GGGGTTATTTAAAGATAATGGAAAAGAAAATGGAAACTACCATAGTATATAGGGGCCTCAACCCCTCTTTCTTTGACCGGATGTAGGTGTGGGCCCCTGTGAGATGCAGCACAGGTGCACCATGCAAAACAAATCCCAACAACCAACAAAAACAAGGAGCGACCTAGGAGGGCTATTCACGTGGGGGCTCTTCAAAACAAGTCTCATTTAATCCATTAGGTCTTCCACCACCCCAAATTTCAATAGCCCCTTCCCCTCAACATTCCACACCCTGCATCCTCCCTGTAAGAAGCATGTTGAGACCTTGCAACGAGTACCCCTGGCATCTGCAAAAAAATCATGTAAGGGCATCATGAAAAAGAAAATGGAAACTACTATCGTATATAAGGTTTTTTGTAGGGATAATGGAAAAGAAAATGGAAACTACTATAGATGGGTTATAGAGGGATAATGGAAAAGAAAACGGAAACTACTATAGGCGTATGTATATATATATTATATATGTATAAGTAGTTTCCATTTTCTTTTCCATTATCCCAATATTTCCCCAATATAACCCCAATGGATTTGAGGCTATCCCTACGCAAGCCGTGATGCAGCTTGACGAGGCAACATCAGGAGATTGCGTAACTGATGATTCAGCCCTGGCTCCAGCAATTTAGGGTTTGGGGTTTAGGATTTAAGATTTCGGGTTTAGGGTTTAGGATTTAGGATTTAGGGTTTAGGGTTTAGGATTTAGGGTTTAGGGTTTAAGGTTTAGGGTTGCTCCAGCAAACTCTTACCCTGACTCTTGATCAGTCTACGAACAAAGAAAGATCGTTTTTGGAGTTTTATGATATGAGTCAGAGGATCCGTAGCGTAGACTCCGTAAAAGCCTCAGTTCCAGCTGCTAGCTGCAAAGCCCCAACCCCATATGTGCTACAGTCAATACTTCCTACATAATAATTGAACAGACACGGTTCCCTATTAAGGATTATATTTAGGACTCTACTACACTAGAAGAGGGACCCCTATGTCCACTGTTAAGAGGCCCCTAATAGGGCTAATATTGACAGTAGCTCAAATGCCGTCTTAAAATCCAAGCACGAATCGACCTGAACCTTGGGCCCGCACCGCACTAGCCCCAGGAAGTCCGTGTTGTTCTCACAGGACTTGCAGGCACCTCCACAAGTGCAGGCGGGGTTTAGGGTTTAGGATCTATGGTTTAGAGTTTAGGTGCATCCTCATCATAGGGGGTTAGGGTTCAGGGTGCAGGTTCAGGGCTTAGGGGCTTAGGGACTTAGAACGCAACAATTGTTTAATGGTTTATACTTTATGGGCTCTGTGTTTTGAAGCTACACCCTAACATTTTCTTTTCCATTAGTGCTATATGACCCCAATATACACCTTGTATTCCCTATATGCCCCCCAGATAATCCCTATGATCCATCCATTCTGCATGAATATGAAATAACTTCTCAGACATCCCGTCGGCACTACTGTTCACCTTCGAAAGCAAAGCGACGGTTTGGGTTTAACCTAACCCATTGGGGCTACATTAGGGTTATATTGGGGTGATATTGGCGTTATATTGGGATAGGAAAATGAAATGGAAGCTACTATTTAGGGTTTAGGGCTTGGGGTTTAGGGTTTAGAATCCGGGGTCTGGGTCTTGAGCTTGGGAGGCATTCATGAGGGGACGTGGACCCCCACATGCTTCAATCTCTGTCTAGATTGAAACCCTAAACCCTAAACTCTAAACCCTGAACCCTAAACTCTTAACCCTAAACACTAAACCTATACCTCATGCTTGAGGATGGGTCCCTATGGCAGCCCCAGTCTCACCCCGGATGAACCATCCAGTAGGTGTCATCAAGGTTTAGGCTTCCCCAAACCCTAAATCTTAAATCCTAAATCCTAAACCCTAAACCCCTTAACTGCGTGGATTTCGGGTTTGGGCTGGGGGTTTCGGGTTCCTTTTGGGCCCAAGGTTTGGGATGTCCCGGGCTGACATTGGGGACTTCCTTTCCAGTGACGGCAGGCATGGTTTGCACAAGTGCGCAGAGAAATAGAGATGTCTAGTTTGAACCCTAGTAATGGGTCCCATTGTCCTAAGCGCGTACTTTCGAGAGCGGAAAGAAGTGTGGAAATCTGCTCAAGACTTTTTGTCTGACCTAAAAAGTCAAAACCTAAACCATTAAACAGAAACCCAACAATCGCAATAATAGTAATAGTATCACTTATAGTAATAATAGTAATAGTGTCACTAATAGTAATAATAGTAATAGTATCAATAATTGTAACCATGAATCTTTAGCGCTGCGGCACCTCGGTAGTAGGGATACTCATCCCGAAACCACGTGAAGAAGTCCTACGAAAAGCAGTGCTCAAAGGGATGCAGGCTTCGGGGGTTTAGGGGTTTAGG